GCCCCCGGGGGCGGCTGCTGGGGTGGGGTGGGGGGGACCCCGGTGGTGCTGCGGCCTCCTTCGGGACTGGGGTCGGGGGGAATGGATGGGGGGATAAGAGGGGACCCGGGGACCACGCAGGGAGAGGGTGGCTGCGTGGTGGCTGTGTGACGGGGGGTGGGGGGGGAGCTGCCTCCTTCCCCCGTCACATCCAGCCCTGTGGCTCCCTTTCAGAGAAGAAAGGGCCTCAGAGCAGAACTCTACCGCCAGGACACGGGGGACCCTCCCCGTTCTCCTGGACCCCCCCAGTCCCTCCGAGCACCGCCTTACCTCCCTCTGTGTCACGTCCCTCCTTCCCCGGTGCTGCCCTGCTGCTGTCCCCAGGCAGTGCGGGTCCCAGGTCTGCTGTCGGAGAAGTGGGCAGGAGAGCTGTGCCTCCTCACTTGTCCCCAGACAGCTCTGTTCCCTCCCTGTGTCCTCGTCCCCTCCCTGTGTCCTCGTCCACTCTCTGACCAGCTGCCCCAGGCAGGGTGCATGTTCCTGGGGTGGGGCGAAGGAGAGCGATGCTGGGACACAGCATGCCCAAACCTGCCCCCGTAGCGTGGCCTGCTCAGCACTGCCCACGGAGCCGTCAGCAGCTTTAGGGTTTGTCCAGCGTGAGAGGTGCGAATAACCTGCCTGGACACTGCTCCCTGAGAATCGCACATCTCCCTTGTCCCTGAATTTCTTTGCATCTGTTTCCTGAGATTGAGGTGGCTGTGAGGCTGGAGGGTGGGAGAGTGAGACTGAACCCAAGCCCGCTGCGTGGTGAGAAGAGAAGGGAGACAGCTTATTTGCGAGAGCCCAGCCTACAGACCAGGGACAGAGCACGGCTCTGTGTCGGCATGCTAGAAACTGGCAGGAGCTGCTGTTGGTTTGACCCTGCTTTGGGTTTCCAGAGGAGGTTTGCGAGGTGCAGGGGGTGCATCCCACCCTCCCAAACGAAACTTCTGCTCCCCCTCCAGGTCTCGGTCGTAGGGAGAGGCGACGCTGAGTCCCTCAGCTCCAGACCATGAGCTGGCTCTGCCGCTGGGGATGCCGGGGCTGAGAGCTCCAAGCCCCAGGGAAGGAAGATGCTTCAGACCAGCAACTACAGCCTGGTCCTGTTCCTGCAGTTCCTCCTGCTTTTCTATGACCTCTTTGTCAACTCCTTCTCGGAGCTGCTCCGCACGGCCCCCGCCGTCCAGCTCGTCCTCTTCATGTGAGCGCCAGGCAGACATAGCGGGTAGCGCGGTGGGGCAGGAGAGCTGGGATCTCACCACATCTCTCTCCTCCTGCAGCATCCAGGACATTGCTATTCTCTTCAACATCATCATCATCTTCCTCATGTTCTTCAACACCTTCGTCTTCCAGGCTGGGCTGGTCAACCTCCTCTTCCACAAGTTCAAGGGGACCATCCTGCTGTCAGGGGCCTACCTGGCACTCAGCATCTCCTTCCACATCTGGGTTATGGTAGGCTGGGGCGAGCTCGGGGCTGCTGGCTTCTCTTGAGGGCAGGCAGCACAGGCGGTGGTCGGCTTGCTTTCCTGGCCACAACCCCCTGCGCCCTTCAGTCCCTCTCTCATGAGAGAAAGGCCACGATCTACCACCGCAGGGACAGTTTGGTGTCCCCCTGTGATTCCCTGCGTGACCTCCCGCCCGGAAGGCATCAGGCTGGAAGTGAGCTGCCCCATCACGGCCCCTTCCCTAAGGGCTGTAACCTGCTGGAAAATCCTCTTTCCACAGGGGAAGCCCAGCAGCTCCAGCTCTGTGCTGGCACAGAAGCCACTCATGGGGTAATCCCCGCTGAAGTCTGTGACAGCACCTCCCGGTTTACCTGGGATTAATCCTCAGCAAACGCCAGGGCTCAGCGCCTTGGGGCGGCCCCCTCCCTGCTGGCAGCAAGCAAGCACCGAGTGGTCCTGGCAGCATCTTCCCCTTCTCTTCCCTGACTAAACTCCCTCCTGTCCCCTGCCCCAACCCCCAAAGGAGCAGCCCACACACCCTGCCCAGCCCCTGGGCACCCTCCTCCATCGGGCTCTCATCCCCCACTTCTCCAGCCTCTGAGTGAGGGTCCATCCCTACCTCGCTGACCCTGGGGCAGGGGAAACGCTTCAAGCTGGGCCGGGGGCTGCCCCGCACCAGGGTGCCCAAGCGGGCAGCCGCCCCGGTGCTGCCCACGCCATCCGGGCAGGGGATTGATGGGGATTTGCAGAGATCTGAAGTCTGAAGCTAGAATAGGTCCCGGCTCGCTGGCTAAATCCCCTGAGCTGCTTAACCTTTGGGGTGGGGGAGCTGCCCCCCGCAGCCGGCAGCGTCTCCCCTGGCCTGTGACCAGCAGCACACCGGGCTGAGGGAGCTGGAGGCACAGGTTGCTGCCCCCAAAACTAACGCGGGGGTTTTTCTTGGCTCCTGTCTGTCTGTCTGTCTCAGAACCTGCGGTGGCGGGACTCCGGCCACTTCGTGTGGACTGAAGGCCTGCAGACCCTTTTTGTTTTCCAGCGGTTGGGTAAGGGCTCGTGGTCGCAGGGTCCCTGGTGGGGTCCTGCCTCTTTCAGGGAGCCTGTGGGGGCAAAGTTGGGGGTCCTCCCTCACCCCCCCTCCCTCCCGCAGCGGCTGTGCTCTACTGTTACTTCTACAAGAGGACGGCGGTGCACCTGGGTGACCCCCTCTTCTACCAGGACTCGCTCTGGCTGCGCAAGGAGTTTGCACAGTTCCGTGGCTGATGGTTTCCCTTGGGCTCTGGACGACCCACTGTCTTTCCCTTCGACTTCCTGGCAGCCCCCGCCATCTCTCTGCAATTTGCGGGCCCCATTGGGGACAGTTTCGGCTCAGCCACCTTCCTCCTCTTCTTCCCGGGGACCAGCTCTTCTGCTGGCGCCGGCACAGCTCACGCAGATGCTGGGGGTTGGTGCGAGGCTCCTGGTGCGTTCTGGCGCCACAGCTCCTGTTGGGACTTGAGTGTTTTTGTAAACAATAAAGAAATAAATCGGCTGCCTTTTCCAGAAGCTGCCTGGTGTCTGCGCACCCCGGGCCCCCCCCCCCCGGCTTTTCCCTTCCTTCCAGTGGCAGCAGCTGCCATCCCAGCAGCCTTACCTGTGCCTTGTGCTGGCCCTGGCCAGCTCAGCGCTGTGTTTGCAGCCACAGAACAAGGCTGTTCCCACCTTGTAGAGTGGGATGCTCGGCCCAACGTAGGAACGGAGGCAGAACCGGAGGGCAGCCGGTGATCCCTACCCGCCCCAGCTGGGGGTCCCGGTTCCCACCCGCCCGTCTGGCCGGGTGCGGGATTTGAACCCGCAGCTCAGCTGCCCAGTCCTCCTGAACCATAGAGAGGGCGGAGAGAGCGGCCGGGCGCCTTCCCGCCCAGCGCTCCCGGGAGCGAGGGCGGCGGCGGCCGTTCCCATGGAGATGGAAGATGGCGCCCAGGAGTGAGTGAGGGGCCGCGACGGGCAGCGGGGCCAGGACCGGGAAGGGCGGGGGGGGGACAGCGGGGCGTAGGGATGGGACTGGGAGCTGGCCAAGGCGCGGAGGGGCCTGGAACGGACCGGGAGCGGGGTTCAGCCAGGCGGGGAGCGGGGTTGGGGCCCGGTCCGTGCCGCCCCCGCCTACGGCCGCCTTGTGCCCTCAGGCCGCCAGCGCTCCTCGGCTCCACTGCAGGTCCTGCTTTTCCTCAACGGGTGGTACAGCGCTACCTACTTCCTCCTGGAGGCTTTCATCTTCGTGTACAAGGGTGAGTCCCCTGCAACCCCGCCCCCCCAGGGCAGCAGCCCCCCCCGCCCTGAGGCCCAGGGTGGGCTGTCGGTGCAGGCCCTGAGGGCAGCGGTGGCTGTACCCCGCAGTGCTGCTGCTGCCGTACCCCTTCACCAACCTAGCGCTGGACGTGGTGCTGCTCTTCCTCTACCTCGGCACTGAGGCCACTCGCATCTTCTTCGGTAAGTGCTGGGGACAGAGGGGGTGGTGTCCCCGGGGTGACATCGGGCTCCAGAGCTGCCACCCCCCACCCCAGGAACTGCTGGGGCAGAGCTGGGACCGCCGTGGTGCCATTTACCACGTCCCCACCACCACCGCAGAGTCCTGGGGGGCCCTGTGGGAGACACCCCCCTAACCGTGTTCCCCCCAGGATCCAAGGGGAACCTGTGCCAGCGGAAGGTGCCACTCTCCATCAGCCTGGCCCTGACCGTCCCAGCGGCCGTGATGGCGGCCTATTACCTGCTGCTGCAGACCTACGCCCTGCGCCTGGAAGCCATCCTCAATGCCATCCTCCTGCTCTTCTACGCCGTGGAGCTGCTGCTGGGTGTCCTCGCGCTGGTCTCCTTCTCCAGGTACCGCAGCCAGGCCACGTCATGCAGGGAGCTGGGTAACGCCGGGACGCGGCAGAAGCCGGCACCTGGTTGGTTTGGCGCTGACATGTCCCCCTCTTCCCTTCTTGGCAGCGTGGATTCATACTGAGGCCCCATGCCACGCCAAAGGACCAGGCACAGAGCGGCACAGGTACGCGAGGTGGCGGGGAGCCAGCAGCCCCGGTGCCGGCTCCATCTCCCAGGCCAAGCCCACGTCAGTCCCGGGCAGGAGAAGTCTTCACCCTGCCTGCACTCCGCTTCGCCCGGCAGCATGCGCGAGCGACCTGCCGGGCAGCACCCGACCCACTGCCACCTGGGAGGCGGCCCCCAGGACTTGTGATGCACAGGTCAGTTTGAGGTACGGAGAACTTTTTTTTCTATTGCCTTCTCAGAAAAATTCACTATTTTCCAATAAATATTTATTTTTACCTGGTGCCTGGGCATGTGGCTTTCCCCAGGGCAGTGGGCTGGGCATGAAGTGCTCAGGAGCTTCCAGCACTGCACCGCTGCCCCACAGCGCTGCCCTGAGCCGGCCTGGGGGGCACAGAAGCCCCTCAGAAGCACGGGAGGACAGTGAGGGTCAGGGATGGTGGGCACAGAGGCACTAAATAGTCCCCAAGTGCTGCTCTTCCCTCCCACATAGTGGCACTAAAATGCTCCCACCCCACTCATCATAGGGAGGAAACACGACAGAAAAGCCCTACAGCGCCATATAAAAGATCGACAATGTCATCAAGTTTATTACACAATTTCCAACCTATCAGAAAGACAAACAAATCTAGTCACTGCGAGCAGGAGGGGCAGCGCCTCGCTGGGTGGTTAATAGGGGTTTGCTCTGCACTTTTCCCCACTATATTTGGAAAGAAACTAAAAATTTGTGTCATTAAGTAAAAAAACAGAACTCTCCCACCAAGCGCTCCCCCCGGCACTCACCCGCTAAGCCGGCACCTCATGGTACTTTACAAGATGGATTGGTTTTTTTTGTTTGTGTGTCATTTCAACCTAAAAAGACCTCCAGAGCTGGGCTTCTCCTGTCCAGCAACAGTTCAGAGGGTGACACTGCCTGGCCAGCAGCCCTGGGGACTGGCACCCACCCTAGAAGTCACGTTGTGTCTCCTCAGCTCACCCCAAGCCTCCTGGGCTCTCCCTCTCCTGCTGGAGGGATGCGTGTGGGGCCTCGCAGCCCAGAGAAGCACAGGGCTGGGGTGGGGGGGCTCCCACCTGGCTGCCCACTGCTCCGTGCAGTGCACAGGGACACCCACCACCCCCGTCCCGGCCTGTGCGACACAGCCGAGCTGCTACCACACGCGGAACCACCATGCCGCCTGTTAGGAAAGGGTAGCCGGGGGACGTAGGGACACAGCTGGAAGAGCCCCCAGCACAAGCGGGGGACAGGTAGTCCCCAAGGCAGGGGGGGTGGCAGCCTGCCCTGCCCCGCCCCGCCCCGCCTCCTCCGCTTCCTCTAAAACAAGGAAGGTGCTGCAGGAGAGGCCGGCTCCATGCAGGACCCTGCCGGCGCTCGGCAGCCGGAGCTGCTGTTTGGGATGGCAATGCCGCTGCGGCGAGCCGGTGGGGAACATCGGGGCAGAGAGAGGGGGCGACCCCTGGCCCAGCTCTAGCCCCCCGCTTCCTCAGCACGTCGCTCCCAGACAGAGCGGAGAGGGCGAAGGGGAAAAAGCAGGCCCGCGGAGGGGATGGGCTGCGCTTCCCCTCCATCAGAGGGGGGAAAAGGAGGAGCGTGGCACAGTGTCCTGCAGGATGGGGGGGCCTGTGCTGGGACTGCTGGGGTGATGGGGACAGGAGTGTCCCCAGACGAGGTGAGAGGATGATACGTGGCAGAAGACCCCATACCAGCGAACCTGGGCACGGGGTCGGGAGCCGTGCGCCTCCAAGCCCCCGCGCTTCACGCCCACAGGGAGGGCTCCATCCCCTCCAGCCACCCCCGGAGAGGAAAGGGCTCACAAACCTCCCTCCATGGAAAAAAAAAAGCACCATTTCTCTTTGGGTCCGAGAGTCCACGGAGTGGAGCAGGGTGGCCCAGGCGCAGGCGTTCCCCGGCTCCCCGTCTCTCCCCGGGGAAGCAGCAGTAGCGGTGAGTGCGGGCAAAGGCTCAGGCCCCAAGGCCACGAGGTGTCGGTGGGAGTCCCGCCGGAGCACGGCACGGTTTTCCTCGGGCGCCCGGAGAGAGCTGGGGGTGGCGGGGAAGGGGCGGGGGGGTGGAGCGGCCTCGTCACGTAGTCCTGATCGAGGTGAGGAGATACGAGTCCATTAAAAACCACTTACTGCCAAACTCCTGTGGGGGAGAGACGAGAGGAGTGGTCAGATAAGCGCCGAGGACCCTTCCCACCACCTCAGCCCTCACTCCTCGAGGGGGACCCCTGAGACCCCACACCGATGGCGCAGCACGTGCGGCAGCGCCCTGGCACCGGCTCACCTGTCTCAGTGGTGCCGGTCCCTCTCTCTGTCCCTGTCCCGATGTCGGTCGTGCTCCCGGTTCCGCTCCTGGAAATAGTCCTCGTGCCGATCCTCGCTGTGGAGCAGGTCCCGGTGCCGCCGGCTGCTTTCGCGAGACCGGCTGGGAGAGCGCTCCCGAGATCGGTGTCTTTTCCTGAGAAAAAAGAAGAAAAAGCTTTCGGTTACCTCCGGAGAGGATCTCACTGGGCTGGGGACAGAGACAGCGAGCAAAACCCCAAGACGGGGTGCAACAAAGCCACCCCCATGCAGCTCTGACCCCCAGAGCCGTCAGTACCTGGAGGAGCTGCTGCTGGCGCCCGTGCTGTAGGACTTGGCTTCGATGCCGTGCAGACAGTCTTTGAGGGACGAGAGGAGGACGCGGCACCGCTCGTCATTGGCGACGCGGGACTGCTTGATGACGGCGATGGCCGTGAGGAGGGTCTCGATGGCGTCGCTGTAATCGCCTGGGGAAGCGGAGCAAGGCTCGAGGGATGCGGACTTGCCACGGGATGGCATGGGGGGGGGGGCGACGACATGGGCACCTGGGGGGCACGGGGACGCGGTCACCTTTACCTGCGCTGGCGCCGGACACTGCCTTGGAAATGGCGCTGCTGGAGATCGCCCGGTTCCTGTTCATGATCTCCTCAAACTCCACTTCGCTCACAGGGGGAGGTGGTGGGCCGAGCTCCCGGCTGCACAGGAGGCACATGTGGGGGTCAGCATAGCCGCGCCCATCCCCAATTTGGTACCAAGGGGCACGCAGCCCCCCCCCCACTCCGCCCCTTCTCACCTGCTGTGGTTGTAGGGGGCCATGGCCTTGCCGTAGGTGTCCGGCGGAGGACCCAGGGCTGCGTTGGGTGGGGGGAAGAAGGCAG